GTGCTGCCGCTGCTTCTCCTGGAACAGGCACCACATCCTCCTGGACTTCGCCTGCTCCGTCCGGGACTGAACTCTGGTCCGGGGTTCCCTCTGGGGCTGAACTTTGACCCGGAGCTCCGTCTGACTCCGCGGGAGCTGAGGTTTCCGCCGGCGCCCCTTCTGCTTCCCCTGGAACAGCATTTCCCGCCTGGGTACTCTCTATTACTTCCGCTCCGCCGAGGAGAGAAAAACAAGGATAACCTCGCTTCCCTATATATGCCGCCGCCGTCCCTTAATCCATTGACTAGCCATTTCATTTTCATTCGGCATAATCGGGCCGGGCTGGTGGCGCCGATCAAGCGAACCGCAGGGGGAGAGGCGGAGCAGGGGGCAAAAAATAGAATAGAGGGGAGGGGAGGGGAAGGGAGGGCGACCTCACGGGAAGCGAGAAATCAAAATGAGGGGCAAGTGCAGCGCGCTCTCGCACCCCGAGGGAGCCCCCGTGTATGTGTGCGCGCGAGCGAGTGTATGTGTGTGTGACCCCTCCCCTTCGCCCCATGGCGTTGCCACATACCTCCACGTACCTGACCCCTCCCCCTCCTCGCACTATTATTCTCTTTCTATAACTACGAATTCTATTATAGCTATTCCCCCTTTTATGACATCAAACAACGCACGTGAATGGTCCAGCGCGGAGAAGGGAGACTAGAGACGCGTCGCTCACCCTCTCTCTCTCTCTCTCTCAGACGCGTCGCTCACCCTCTCTCTCTCTCTCACTCACTCTTTCTCCCACAGTAATTTGCATGCATGCGGACTGTCTGAGGAGTGTATTAAAGCTGCGTGGCTTTGGCTTTACGGAAACGCGAACGATACTGAGGAGGAAAGTGAATCACTTTTCCTCACTTTTGCTCCCCGCGTTGACCACCGTCCCCCGTCTCGCCCCTGGTCTCTCACGCCTTCTCCCTCCCTCTGTTTTTGTTTTGGGTCGAGCGCTGCAACACTTGTCCAGCAGCGTACCCCCCGCGCATTCCCTCGGGCCAAAAAACGCGTTATTAGTGTGCACGTATTACAAGCATTAACAATCACGATCCTGATTATTCTGCCCATCAGCTCCACCTCATTTAGTGAACAGTCATGAGCAGAAAACCTAAGCAAAGTTAATGCTAATTTTAATCATTGCTCTTCAACAACTCAAATTGAAATGACGATCATTTTTCATTTTT